CCCCAAAACCCCAAAACCCCGGGGTTTAATTCAATACGCTTGAAATCGAGTAATTCAAAAAATATATTTTCTTATTGGATTACAAAGTTATATAAGTACCTTATTATTATAAAAATTAAGTATTAACTAGTAAATATCAAAATGAATTAATTCTACTTTTTTTTTGGAGTCAGATTAACTCTATTTTACATTATATGGTCATACTATGATTGCTTTTTATATGCTATTACTACCTATTTAATCAGTGATGTGATCTTTGACAAATTTATGAGCTTATTTGGACTAAAAAGAGTTCCTTGTGGTCCTGATGTTTTACTCAATAAAATTGACTGCTATATATTGATGTATGCATATACCGACAAAATATAATCAATTAATTCCATCAAGGAGTAGTTTAAAAGAAACGGCAAACACCTTGGTCATTTTAAGTCAAAATATGTAGATTTATTTGGAAGCCTTTACTTAAGTGAGCTCAAAGGAGCGGAATTGAAGTCGGAATGGAAAAGAGCATTTATTGAAGTTGCAGATGATATATAAGATGAAAAATAGCTAGGGCTTTTCATCACTCGAGTAGGATAAGAAAAAATAGAGAATAGCTCTATACAGTTTAGAATATACTTTATCAAAAACTTTATGAAGGATCAATCATGTATCATAGTAAAGACTGGGCATGGAATGGCTGATGGTGTAGCAGTCATTTTGGCAGCTTGCGCAACTTAGGATACTTTTGACTCCTAGCAGTTGCCTTAATTGAGACCATTTAAGTTTACCGATTTCTTAATGACTCATTTGATGATATTCTTTTTCTTGTACTATGTGATTTTCCCGCCGAAGCAAGTAGTCTAACCAATATAAATAGATCCACCTTGCTGGAATAAAGTTGAAATAACACCCTCGCAATCAATTTCTAAAGACTTTAAGGTCTCTGATGTGTACAAACTTTCAAAGAAGTTTAACTGTAGTGTAAATGATTTAATGATGACAGTAATTAATGTTAGTATGAGAGATTACTTTTCTAAAAAAGGACAATATTATGAGTAGATTAAATATGCTATTCCTATGAATTGCAGGAGGATACCTTAAAGTTTCGATGAATTCTACTACTTGAATTACTCTCACGCAGAAACAATATTCTTAGATATGAAAAAGGAATATGATTTTTAGACTGTGGTCCATCAAGGGAGAGATCATATGAATCAGCTAAAGAATAGTTATAGAGAACTAATATCAATTTATTTGATAAAGATGGCCAGTTATTTCATTCCAAGCTTCGTTCTTAATATGATGAGACAAAAAATGATTGATAACTTACCTAAAATAAGCATCTCTAATATAAATGGACCAAAAATTCCTTTAGAATTTGGAGGTGCTAAAACTAGAGCCATTTCATTTACTTGCATTTTTGATGGTTAATTTTGTTTTTTCTCTATATTCTCACACTAGGATGTAATGAAATTAGGTTTATATGTAACAAAAATGAATGTGATTGGAAATGAATTGATGGAAATGATTGAAATTAAAATTGAGGATTTATTAAAGCAAAAATAGATCTAATGAAAAGATAAGTGAATTTATTTTCTATAAATAATTCTATTTATCTGAAAATTTGGAATAATTAATTAAAGTTAATAATAATGTTATTTTAATAAATCTTTGTAATTTTACTTAATATTTAAGCTCGGGGTTTTGGGGTTTTGGGGTTTT